TCTAGAGGAGCAGCTCTGGAAGTTAAAACTCTCTAGGGCCCCAAACTCTCAAGATCTTTGTAAAAACAGAAGAGAAGCTCTCTGACTGGCAGGAGAGCAGCATATTTGAAAGACAAGCAGGCTGCTAAAATCTGGTTTTCTGAAATTCTGTGCTATACTTGTCCAGAGATGTGGAGTACATCAACTTCACAAGCACTCACCTTAACTCAGAGAATCTGGGAAACTCACCATGCCCACTCTTGCCTGTCACATGCCAGATTAGACTTAGGGCAAGTGTTTAATTTTCTTTAAGATGTTTAATTTTGCACTGACTCACACAACAGGTTTGCTTTTCTCCCCTGCCTCTAAGGGGTCAAGGATCTGTTAACTAAGACTTTGAGTTGTGATTAATTTGACAAGTTCATATAACTAGCCTTTTTAAAACAAAGCTGATGCTTTCAGAAAACTAATTACAAAGTCTCAGAAGATGGCAATAATTGATGTATTCTCTAACCATGCACTAACAATGTGAATTAAAGTTGTCCCGTCACAGGACCAGCCACAACATCATACTCTCATGTACTAGTAGGGGTAATACCTCTGTAACTTCATGGCAAAAACCGTTTTTATCAAAAACTAGTACTTCTGTATAAGCATAAGCCGTCTGTGCTAACAACTGGACTCTTTAGCAAGGAGATTCTGTATTTACACTCTGGTAGCCTGTTCTGCAGAAATGCAACTTTTCCAGTTTCTCATGGTCTTTTTTTAAAGTGAGCCTAACCTGACCTTCATGTGGCACTGTGTAATTACGAGTTTCTGCTTCTTCTTTACCTTCCACAGCTTCTCCCTCTCTCTCTCAGTGTTTTGCAATCACTGTGGGGAGTGATTTCAACCACAACTAACAGCCATATCACTGCTTCTCCCCTGCGGGTAGCTCTGCAGTGCGGTTAGGCAACTCCCTGGGCTGTTCTCAGCCAAAACCCAACGCCCACCCCATGTGTTTATCGTTTCAAACACACATCCCTGCCTGGCTCAGCATCTGCCTAAGCAAGGCAAGCTGGAGAGTGATGGTTTAGATGACGATTTAGATGATGAAAACCAGAGCAGGGCAGTTCTTGTGATGGTTCTTTTTGCTTCTGTTTCTCCTGCTCTGCTTCCCCTGACCCTGCGCTCCTTGATCTTCCAGCCTGTCACAAGCACACGTTGTGTGTCCACATCCCAAATTTGTTTATTCATCCTATTTTGGATTTCTCCTGGAGAAAGAGACCCTGGCGAACACTAAACAAAGTTTTCTAAGAAAGTTCTCAGTGTGAAAGATTCAGCAGAAATTAAAAATAGGCTTTCAATTCTACCTGAAACAGCAGTTTAAAAAAAAAAAATGCAGATTTTTTCTTATATCATTTGTTTACATTTCATAGACTCATTTAGCTCAAACAATATTGATAGCTGTCTTTGAATCCTGGTAAGACACAGTGCTAAATTAACATTTTAAAAGTATTTTCTTAGGAAAGGCTTCAAGTTCTGCATGAGGGAACCTACAAAGCGCAATGTAGTCATATTTTAGTTATTGCTACACAGAGCAGCAATTAGAATTTGCACAGGGACCATGCAGCAGTCACAGTTACCATTTTCACATCACTGAAGTCAAAAACCAGGGAGGAGTATTACTATTACTCCATCTGCTCATGTGAGGAGTCTCCAGATTTTGCTCTCTTTTTAAACAGCTGCATCCCTGTGCTCTCTCCTCCGGCTATGGCCATTATAGAAAAAAACATTTCCATTTATTTTTTGTTATTTTGCTTGGTTTCTTGAAAGCCCAGACTGAAGCAAATTCTCTTTTTGACTCTTTTTTTAGCAGACATTCTCCAGGTGGAAACAAACAGATAGTATTTTCTTGTAAGTACTCAGGTTAGGTAATGTAAAGTTAAATATCTTTATATTCTTCTTCTTTAGGAGAACAATATTTGAATCACTGATGTAACCCTCAGACTATGGACACATATGCACAATATATTCACTATAATTACTGTCCACTTTAAAAGTAAATATGGTATAAATACAAATTATTATATATACATATAAAATCTGTTTTAGCAGTACAAATTTGGCAACAGGAAAATTAGCTCATTTACTAGGAATTACAGGATATATGCAAATTTCCCAAAACTTAAATCAGTGTACCGAGAAAACTTTTGCTACAAAATGGTGCATGTTGGAAGGCTTTTGTTTAAAAAATGTCTCAGTCATTGAAATGCTTTCCGCATTTTGAAGAGATGAGTCCAAGAGGTGTAGTCTGTTGGGTCTGTAAGTTCTGTACAAGCCCCATAATACACAATTCATGCTGACTACAAAAAATTAGTAAATTAAAATTAATAAATTGTAGCTGCAGTGGCATTTTGAACCCATGTGGAAAGCACTTGTGCTGTATTTTAGAAGTGTGTCAGAGGGAGGGCTGAGTCACATAGGTAAACACCACATTCCTCTATTTTTGTTTGTTTGGAGCTGCCCTGAGTAAAGAGGAACAATGCTGATATTCAGTTTCATCAGCCCAGGCACAGTTTGAAGACACACAGTTTGAAGACACATTCACTTCCTTTTTCAGACTAATCCAGCAGGAAGAATTCAATCACACAAGCACCAGAAAGAAATCTCAGATATAAAAAAATGGCAGGGAAAACTTGCAGTGGAAGAAGCAAACTGAAAACACAGACTGGTGAAAAATAAGCATGGAGTCGGCAAAATCAACATTTAGTTTTTTCACTGGCTAATTACAATAAGAAGACTGTTCTGGCCAGCTGCTTCCACTACAACATTTGTTTCCATTAATTTTTTTATTAGTATTAGCCAATCTTGCCTGCTAAATAAGCACTATTTAGTTTAATCTCATGTGGTAGACTAGGAAGCTAAAATGCAGTGGTTTGAACAACAAAAATTTGAATCTTGCAGCTTCTGAGGGGGAAAGGAAGGTCTCCTTACAAATAATTTGGATTTTAAATACATCCTTTTGATCTGGGAGGTGAAATAGATCATACCCATACCTCTGTCAGGAGAGAAAAGTGCTTTGCTTCAGACAGACCAACTGCAAGACAAATATACAGGCATGGGGAAGGGATGATACCACAATTTTTTATAACAGAATGAAAACCCCATTATTTAAAACCAAGCACCAAACTAAACTCTGAAAGCAGAGAGAACCAAAGCCAGACTAAACGCCTGCAGAGGGCTCAGTTTGTCCAACAATAAAACCTCCCAAACTTTGTCTCTTGTACTGCCTGTGAACACAGATCCTTTCACACCAGTGCCAGCTGCAGTATGTAAAATTACCCTGGGTTATAATCCTACTGTGCTGACAATTTTATGTTCCAGCAGGTGCTGTAGAATTTTTTCCCAGCTGCTATCACTCTTGTTACCCAGCTTTTCTTTTTTTTTTCTTTTCCAATGGAAAAGCAGCAAATTCTAGTAAATGGCAGGGAAGGAAAAACCAGAGATAATGGTTTGTGTCAGCAAAGGCACCATGTGGGAAAAGCAGGAGCTCCCAACTATGACTTAATTACTTTAGTTATATACACCCCTGTGACTGGATGAAGGGCTGTCACCTAGCAGTGGAAATTTGGAAAAGAATTCCTGTTTTTCCTGAAGAATTAAAGTTCAACCTGAAAGTGAGTGCCTCTCACTGGCAACAAAACATCAGGAGCCACACTGACATCAGCCAAGGAATATGAAAATTCAAACTCCAAATATGGGCTGACTCCACCTGAGGAATTGCAATTGAGTTCTGAAATGAGCAAATTTGCACAATCATGGAATCAGGTTGGAAATGAGCTCTGAGCTCAAGTCCAGCCTATGACTGAACAGCACCTCGTCACCCAGACCGTGGCCTGAGTGCCACTTCCAGCTTTTCATTAAACACTTTCAGGGACAGTGACTCCACCACCTCCCTGGACAGCTCATCCTATAGCTGGGAGATCCCTGGATACCAAACTCCTTTAAAGCAGCACCACACTGGGTGATCAGGCAGCAGCCAGGAGCCCATGTTGTTTTCTAAACCACAGCGAGCAGCCTCTGGATGAGGGAGACGTAAATTCCAGGTAGGACACATCTGAGACAGCAAAAGTCCTTGTTTATGAGGGGTTTATAGCTGCAGCTGGACACGAGCCCAGGGTGTCCAGGTGGCCAAGAAGGACAAAGATGCCAGGGTTGTCCCAGCCCTGGGTGGCAGCAGGAGCAGGGCAGTGCTGGGACCACACCTCAAACCCCAGGGTCACTTTTGGGCCCCCCACACAGGGAGTGGAGGGGCTGGAGCGTGGCCAGAGGAGGGAACGGGGCTGGGGAAGGGAATGGAGCCCCAGGAGAGGCTGAGGGAGCTGGGAAGGGGCTCAGCCTGGAGAAAGGAGGCTCAGCGGGGACCTGGAGCTCTGCACAGCTCCTGACAGGAGGGGACAGCCGGGGGGTCGGGCTCTGCTCCAGGAACAGGGACAGGAGGGAATAGCCTAATAGCCTGAAGCTCTGCTGGGGGGAATTAGGTTGGACATGAGGAAGAATTTCTTCCTAGAACGGGTGGCCAGGCACTGGAAAGGGCTGCCCAGGGCCGTACTAGAGCTAGTATCCCTGGAGGTGCTAAAGGAAAGCCTGCACGGCGCTCAGTGCCACGCTCTTGTTGACGGGGTGGTGTCCGGCCGTACGCTGGGCTCCATCACCCCCGCCCGATTTATCCCGCGATTCTGTAATTTACAGCCACACCGCCGAAGGGGACGCGGGCGGCGGGTCCCTTTGTCCGGAGCCATGGGCGGCAACGGGGGGCGGGCGTGAGGGGCGGCAGCGCGCGCGAGGCGTGGGCGTGGCCGGGGGGGCGTGGCCTGAGTGGCTCGCCCGCCGGCCGTTGGAGGGTTTTGAATTTAGCCCGCGGCAGAAAGCAGCTCGCGATTGGCTGGCGCGGGGTCACGTGGGCGGGAGGGCCGCCAGCGCGGTCCGGCGGGGCGGGCGCGCGGCCATATTGGATCGGTGCGGAGCCGGCCGAGGAGGAGGAGGCGACGGCGGTCGGTCCGCGCGTCCGTCCGTCCGTCCGTCTGTCTGTCCGTCCGTCGGTCCCCGCCCGCTCCCCGCCCCGCCGGTATCACCCACCCCGCCCGCGCTCCATGGCCGATCCCACGCCGCGCACCCGCGGCCCAGCCGTCGCCGCGATGCCGCAGAGCCCGACGCGCATCTCCCGCCTGCAGGAGAAGGAGGAGCTGCGGCAGCTGAACGACCGCCTGGCCGTGTACATCGAAAAGGTGCGGAGCCTGGAGACGGAGAACAGCGCGCTGCAGCTGCAGGTGACCCAGCGGGAGGAGGTGCGGGGCCGCGAGGTCACCGGGCTCAAGGCAGTCTACGAGGCGGAGCTGGCGGACGTGCGGCGGGCGCTGGACGACACGGCGCGGGAGCGCGCCAAGCTGCAGATCGAGCTGGGCAAGCTGCGCACCGAGTACGAGCAGCTGCTGGGCAGGTGGGCAGCGGGAGCAGGAAGGGCCGGGAAGCATCCCTGGGATGGCGGGGTGGGGATGGGGATGCGGGCGGAGCGGCGGCGGAGGCACCGGCGGTGCGCGCCCTGCGCTGCCGCCCGCCCGTCCCGCCGGCGCTCGGCCGGGAATGAATCCGGGAATGAATGAGGGAATGGATGAGGGAATGAATGAGGCACGGGCAGCGCTGCCGCCGCTCCGCCCCGGCGGGAAGCGCCGGCCCCGAGCGCCGCCCCTGCCGGGTGCGAGTGCCCCGGCTCCCGCAGCATCCGCGGGGATGCTGCGGGACGGCTCCGACCGGTGCGGACGGAAAAAAAGGGGGACGTTTTGGTTAGACAGGTTAGATACTAGCCAGAAGTTCCTTACTGTGCGGGTGGTGAGGCGCTAGAACAGGTTGTACGGGGAGGCTGGTGCTTCAGAAATGAGGTGCTGTGATTGCTACCCGCAGTAAGGGAGAGCTTAGAGCACCTTCCTGTAACTAAAGGAGGATGGGGAAAGATTTTTGACAGGGGCACGGAGTGATAGGACAAGGTGGGAACGGCTTTAAACTGAAGAAAGGCAGGTTTAGATGGGATATCGGGAAGAAATTATTTGCTGTGAGAGAGGTGAGACCCTGGCACAAGTTGCCCAGGGAAGTTGTGGGCACCCCATCCCTGGAAGTGATCCAGGCCAGGCTTGATGGTGCTCTGAACCATCTGCTGTAGTCAGTGGCGTCCCTGTTTGTGTACTTGGGACTGGACGGGCTTTAGAGTCCATTCCAGTCCCTTAGCACTGTGTTTCCATGATTATTCACCTCCCCCTGCACGGACAGAGGGCTGCCTTTAAGGCTTAGGCTGTTGAAGAAAAGTTGAACCTTTCTGAAACAGATTAACTTCATAATGTGAAAATACTGACTAGGTAATACGCGGATCATACTTAAACCAAAGACAATGTAATTTAATTTCTGCGTGCCTTCCTGGATGTTCAGATGTTACAAAATATGGAAATTTTGTCCTCACATCCCCCAAACTGCCGGCTTTAGGGCACAATGCCAAGATCCCTGCTCTTGCAGCTAACTGATTTTGAGACACTAGATTTTGCTTCTTAAACATTCTACTCGAATCAGTTGTTTATTTGGTTCCTTGTTTGTGTTTACCTTCAATTTGATTTTTGTGACTACTGCAGTTTTAGGCATTAACACTTTAGTCCTGGAATCACAAGTTGTATCAATGCTGGGAGGGGGAAAAAGACCTCCAGAGTTGTTATTCTTCCTCTCCTACTGTGTCTTAAATGCCCTCTCAGCCCTGATTTTTCATGATGAAAAAGATACTTCATGTGTTCTTGTGCATCTGCAGACAGCTCTGATATCTTTTGGAGTCTGTTATTTAAAGAACTAAAACCGTGGAGCTTCTAATCAGTGAGTCTGGTTGTTCTTGGGGTTACATCTTGGTGCCTTATGAAGATCTTGAATCAAAGTAGTCATTGACAGTGACAGGGGAAAGCCAGGTGTAGCTGCAGACAGGCACCAGCATTAATTGACTCCAAGGTCAAGCCAGGAATTTCCATCTCTGAGTGATTTTATTGAGGAAGACACTCTTGTGTCAGCTTCTCACAAGACTCTCATGTGTGGGACTGGGATCTAAATGCAGTCTTAGTGGACTCCCTTTTTGTGGCTGGAACCAGGGCATTAATAATGTGGACATGTGCATCTGCATATTCTGTCTTGCATTTGCCTGTGATTTTGCTTTGGCAAAAACCTGTTTTGGTGGGGGCAGGGTGTTGTTTGCCAAGAACTCCTGGATAGTTTAATAAAACAAACACTCAGTGCTGTTTGAAGCTCCTGGATTCCACTTGTTTGTGGCTGTTTGGTGCCAGACTTCACTATGGGCGTGCAGTTTCTTAGTCGTCTTTGAGAGTTAAGATGGATATCTTGGGGATATCTAGGCTTATCTGTAATTCTATTTGCAAAGTCTTAAAAAGGAGCAGAGGGGTTTTTCACTTGAACTGGAGCACACTCCTTCATGGCTTCTTAAAACTGTTAAGTCACATTATAACGCGACAAGAAATACTCTTAAAAGCACTTTGCACAGTTGTTCATAGGAGTTTTGTAAAGGTTTGCAAGGTAAGATGAGAATGTGTGCTCTCAACAGAATTTTCCTTGCCCTCTCTGAACTACACTGTGCTATATGTGCTGACTTGAGTTAAAATGGGAGTATGTGGTAGTCTGACAGATCCAGTTGGTGGAAGGAAAAAAAAAAGTTACCTGGTATGTTTGGTTTGTGTGATTTAGGTATTCTGGTAGTCATAACATTCAAATTAATGATGAGGTTCCTTACAGAGCCAGAGGAGATAACGTGTGAGGAGAAATGGCTGTCTGGGTTTTCTGGGTCTGTGGAGGGAGCAAAGATGATTTCCCACTTATTTCTCTGAAGCTGGGTAATACCATTCATGCTCTAGCTGGACTTCTTGTGTTATTTGAATATTTTTGCAGGTGTTATTCTTGTGCAACTCTGTTTCCTTTGGGTAGCACAGCATCCTTCTTAATTGCTTGATCCATTTTTTTCCAGTAATCTTTCAGTCACTCTTAGTGCCTCAAACTCAAGCCTGTAGTAACTCTCGAAGTGCTGTAGGACTTCTCTTATTCTTCACAAAAATTAGAGATCCAGTCACTTATTTGTTTTGGATTTACTGACTTCAGTGCCATCTATATGGTGTGGTGCACCAAAAAACTTGCTCTGCTCATGCTTATATCCCTCAAGAAAATTGCATTTGTTTCTTTAGGTGACAGTCCTGTATATAGTAGACTTGTTGCATTCTCTCCTTCTAGAGTGCTTGCCATGCAGTGGGCTCTGCTGTAACAAAAATAGGAGGGTTTCCCTTGATACTTCAAATCTCTAAAGAACTAGGGCGGGGAAAAGTGAGATTAAAAAAATGAGCTTCCCTATTTCTGTTCTGGGGAGGAGATGGGAAAGTGATACTCAGAGTTGTGTAAGTAGGAAGCTTGTGATGGGCAGAATGGAGATAAAGGAAAATAAATATCGGTATCTCAAGAGTTGGGGGGAAAAGACCATGTAATTTGAGTTTAGGTGTATAGAATTCATGGAGAGCTCTTGGGAGATGGAGAAGAAGGAGCTCTCTCTTCCATAGTTTGAGAAAGAATTGAGAGACCGTACCATTTTTACAGTACTTCCAATTTATTTTCTCATTAGTGATTTGACAAGACTCTACTGTATGCTTTACCATTGGTATTGGCTGCTGCCGTGTCATGCCTCTTGTTCTGTCCGTGAAATAATAGATAGTGTAATTAATTATTACAGCTACAGTTTTGCCAGTCAAGGGCTGTGGAAGACACCAGCAGTACCTCCGCAGAAAAAATGTCTGTTCATACTGATTTCCAGCTGCTGGACTTGCTCATGAACAATAAAGGTGAAAGGTTGCCTGTAGAGGGTGGGATCATGAAGTCTCAAAATGTGTGATGATAGAATTAGCTACAAATTATTTTGGGGTAGTAAATCCTGTTATTTTTAGGTAGGGTGCACTTCCTACAACAGAGCAGCATTGCCTTGGCTGGGAGTTCAGATTGCTGCAAATTCCATATTTCTTGAGAAAAAGATTAAATAGGCAAGGCATACAACTCAGTGAAAGATGTGATCCTTGGACATGTCATAATGCCATCTTATAAGCAGTAGGTCCCAATTGCTCCATCACATCCTACAAGACTGGACAAATCTTCTGCTTTTGAGGGGAAATGTGTCATGGGTTCATCATTTGCCACAAGTGCGCACCAGGGAGAACTGCTGAGCCGGGGTGGTGGGCGGAAAAGGTCTCATGTGTCACTGGAGTAATTAACTTAACAAGGGTGCACATTGTGAATTTCGGCACAGCTGTGTCACCAAGTCCTGTTGAACAAGGGCCGTTCAGAAAGCCAAGGCTGGCTGCTGCGTTGTGTGGCTCTGCTGGTGGGTCAGGTTTCAGCATAGTTTTGCACTGGTGGAAATGGTTTCCAAGATAAAGAAGATTTATTTCAAAGAATGTTTGTGATGGGGTCTTAATTCAGTGTATAGTAGGTCAAATATCCCTGGCTGGACTTGCCCACATTCTGGTGGGTCCTGTGAGGAAATTGTGTTCTTTAGGAGATATAAGCTGGTGTTAACTCCAGTTCATTTAGGAAACCCATTGTTTACAGTTGTCTTTGGCAGGCTGGGATTTCACTGTGGCAGTTTGCCAGTGTTGAGGGACATCTGCTCTCCTGGAAAAGGAGACAATGTGATTAAAGTAACTCCGAAGGAAATTGTGTATTTTATTGAAGATGCTGGTAAAACACTTAATCTTCCTTCATTATCTTCAGGTGTTTTGTAGAGTGCAATCATTAATAGCAAATGTAATTGTGGCAAAGAACTAAACTTCAGTTTTAAATATCAAAGAAATAATTTATCTGGCTGGCTGGCTTTGCATCTCCAGTTGGCCTTCCTTCCCATCTACACTCTGAACTACATTTCGGCACCGAGATTAGGTAGTAAAATAAATATCAGGAACAGATTCCCATCAGTCTGTGACTTGAATTATGGTGCAAATGTGTGACAGTCTGCAGCTGATACCCTGAGCAGCTACACAGAACCATGTGGTGTTGGTGCAGGCAAAGATGTGACACCTGTTCCTGGCTTTTCCAGTGTGCATATGTGCTGTAAGGAGCTGGGGAGGTACTATGGAAAGGAAGCCGAGTAGAAATTTTTTAGGCGTATTTTTGTTATTGTAGGTGATATTGAAAAGCGAGGCAAAGATTGGAGTCTGTGGAACTTGAGCTTTAATCTGAAATCTGTCGCTGTTTGGATGTGTACCACAGAGCACCCAGAGGGGGAAGAAGTGGGATGATTAACTTGTTGAAAAACTATTAAAGACACTGAAATGTAAGAATTTATATTCTGAAGTAAGCATGTCTTCTGTGCAGCCTAGGTCATAAATGTTTGGTCTCAAATATGTGGACATGTAACGATGACAGGCTAGTGGGCAGTGGCTTGGCATGTGTTTATGTGTGTGTAGGTTCTCTTAGAAATGGGGTTATGGGATTCACATAGATGACCATGAACTTCAGGTTGTATTTGTGACTTTGAGCAGGGTCACAGCTGAGGAGTATGTGACCAGAGATGATGTATTTTTGGTTACAACTCCATTTAAATAAAATGGCTGACATGAGACAAGTTGAAACCATGTTACATATATTTATTTACAGGAAAGCTAAACTCATCCCGTTACTCTTATTTTCATGTTGGTCTTTATTTAAAAATTTGAATGTTCTTAAGTGATTTTCTTGCAAAAGACGGCCTTAGTGTTTTGTCTGTGATAGGGGAAAAATGTGGGAAACTGACTGCTAGCTAAATAAAACATAGAAAATTCATTACTATAGTTGGGAGTTTTTTTATTATTTTCATTATTTTCTTATTTCTCTGGAGTAGCTAACCAACCCACTGTGCAGTAAATGTAATTTTATATGGGTCTAAATATAGGCTGTATTTTTATCAGGAATCGCAACACATGTGTATCTATGCCATAACTTGGCTGAAAGCCAGTGCTTTTCGAGGAGGTTTTGATTAATGTTGGTAATGCATAGCTTTATGATCAGGTTCTTAAGCAGTGGTAGAAAAGAGTGGGTGGGGTGTGGGCGGTGAGAAGAATCTGCTGTTAGGCTGGTGGCATCCTGCACTTGGTCAGTTTCAAATTCACTACTGAGTTACCAGACCTCGCAAGGTCTGGCTGCTGACTGTCTGCCTTGCATTAGGTGTGTGGTTTGTCTGGCTGATCAGTTAAGATAGAAAATTAATTCTTCTTTATTTGGTTGGAGTTTGGTGGGGTTTTTTTTGGGTGTGTGGTTTTTTTTTTTTGTATGGCTTTTCTATTAACTTAGCAAGAAGTTTAAGAGATGATGGTAAATTCTAGGTTGTTGTAAACAATTCCATGGATAAGAAGATCCACACACTTTGAAGTCAAAAGAGAGAAAACCAAGCTGCTTCTTTGAAAAAGATGCAAGTCAGCAATTACTTGGTTGCTTTTATTTTCCTTTCATGAGTCAAACTACTTGCAATTGAGTACAGTTCTAGGTAATTTCTGAACACTGCAACAAGAAGGTGTTTGAGATTTTTTCATTTGCTGTATTCAGATGTAGCTTTGGCTCTCTGGGGAGGAAGAAGCCAGCTATTGTCAAGAGGCTGAAGTTCTTCCTGGTCAAAATTAGTGAGTGTAAGGGTGAAGTGTGTATTGTATACATTAGTGTTTGTTTTTATAAATCACAGAGGCTCTTCTGATCTTTTCCTCCTTTCCTGTGTTCCCTTTAGGGCTGGGATGACACTGTTGAGTCGCTGAGATTTCATCTGGCTTCCAGTGTTTGAAGTGTTGAGCTCTAGTTTCTGTTTTCTCTCTGAGAATGTGTTCAGATGAGCTGTCTCATAGTTAGACAGCTCATGTCGCTAACAACTAATAGTGCTTAATTTTAATTCTCCACCCCCCCCCCCCCCCCCCCCACCGCTGTGGCTTTTGTTACATTAAATTATAGTGTGGCTTCACAGACAGTCTTATTGCAAACAAGACAGAAAGGGCTGATCTAACTGGTAATACTTTTTGTGGTACAGGTACTACACTGGGTTTTAATCATGTTGTTGCTAGTCCATTTTATTATAATACGCTTTTTTCTCTGCTGATGCATGGCAAGAATGCTCTTGCATTATTTTAATGCAAATACCTTATTAATGTATTTACAAACTGAAAGCTGCCTTTCAGTTTGTAAATACATTAATAAGGTATTTGCATTAAAATAATTTAAGATCCAAGCAGTTTTAAGGTATCCACACACTTTGGGTAATGGCATATTTTGGGGAATCTCTCTGTTTCAGAGTCCAGGATAACTTGGGGCAGACTGGGGAGCAGCATGCTGTATGTCTATAGCTCTGCAACTTTCTCGTTTCAGGGCCTGACTTGGTAGGCTTGGTTTCAGTGCAGAGAGCTGGAAGCAGGAGTGTCCAAACCCTAAATCCTGTGGTTTTGTCTGAGCAGTGGATCCAGCTGTGGGTCTGAGGAGTGAAATGCCACTAAGGCAGTAGGGAGTGTTGAGCAGGAGGAAGCAGCTGAGTGCAGAAGAGAGTGTTTTTGTGTCTCAGGGGTTTCCAGTCTGGCCCTTGGATGCCACAGAGGGGGGAGCAGGTGCTAATCCCATGGGATCGGGATTAGCAAGCGCTAAATCTGTTGCGTAAAGCCTGCCATGTGGTGTGGCTGTGCTGCTGAAACCTCCAGACATACCTTCCATCCCTGCATCCCTCTGTGTGCATGCACCTCTCCTGAGCATGATAAGTGCAGGTAATCTGTGGAAAAAAACGGATCTTGTAAAGCTGATGGTGTCTCCTTTTAAAATTGTGTTGATTTTGCGTTAGGTTTCATTTTGTCAAGAAGCATTGATGTTGTGTCTTATAAGTTGTACAGTGTCTAAAAAGAGTAGTGGATGTATTCTGAATCTATCCAATTTTAATTTATAAATTTATCTGTGCATTATGTTGTTAATTTTTTTTTTTTTTTGGGTTTTTTTGTTGAACAACTGGAAAGAAAAGCATAAGAACTGAAGAAGGATATGCCAGCTTTGGTATTATTGAGCTTAAATCTGTCCATTCCTTTAAAAAGTTCATAGTTCAATTAAAAACATCTAGGACTTCTGCATGCTACTGCCCTTGATAGACAAATGTGGATATCCTAGGCAGAAAAATAGTGAGCTCCAAGGCTGAAGAACTTGTTGCACATTTAATGGTTGCTTGTGCCATCTAAGGACAAGAGACACTTTGATTCATGAATATGGGTTTCCTTTCTCCTGTTTTTGATAGGAGCCTGTTACAGTATTATTTGTGGATAATAAACTAGTGTTTATGTGACATTACTTTTTTCCCCCGTTTGATTTCTGTGTTTGAATATGCTGGTTTAGGAGATAAACACCTAGAAAATGCTTGACTGCTTGTCTAGACACAAAAACTAATTTGAAGGTAACTTGAAAATCTGTGCTTGCTTTCATAAAGAAATCACATCACCTTTGCACCTATTTCTATCATGGCAGATATTGTTGTATAGACAGGATTAGGATCTGCTTCCTCAGGTCTGTGAAAGTTTGCCAATTTTGAGGGGTGCTGTAAAGCACCGTAAATTTAGCTAACACAAAATGTTTTTGACAGGTGTTTCTCAGGTTCAAGATTCAGATTGCTTTATTAGTCAGCAGTCGACTTTGGGGGCATTTATAGGTTCTCTTGCAACTACTTTCTCTGGTTTGTTCCAGCTATGCAAAGAAGGAATCTGACTTCAGTGGAGCCCAGGTCAAACTTCGTGAGTTTGAAGCAGCCCTGAATTCTAAAGAAGCTGCACTGGCTACAGCCCTTGGTGATAAGAAAAGTCTGGAGGGAGAAATTGAAGATTTGAAAGATCAAATTAGAGAGGTGAGAAGAAAAGATAACTAACCATCAGGTTCTCTAGTAAGTGAGGTGGTTTTCTGTATCATGAGCTGCCAGTCTGATAAAATATAACTTGGTAACCAAAAAAAAAGAATGAAAAGCTGTCCATTTTAAGAGCTGAGAAAGCTCTTAAAATTGCAGATGCTGAAATTAGGAGGGGGAAGCAAGCAGGTCAAGACTCAAAGTACATTTGACACTTTTCAGAAGTGTTTTGGGGGGCAGATTGACTTCACAAGAACAGATAATAACTGACAAAAAACAGTTTCTCTCTGTCCTCCTTTTGGTTCTTCATGTTCTGGTGAAACAATGAGGAGGAAAACCTCTTGTCCTAGTTTTGTTAGCCTTTGTTAAACACATCCAGAGGACGAGTGGTGGAGACCACAAAACTGGTGTTTTCCATGTATTAAAAACTGATATGTAAGGAAATTTATTAAGTAGTAGTTCTAATGCCAGCTATTAAAGTGAAATATATGGAACTCACTTGTATAAGCAACTGCAAAGGTGTGTATGTGTGGTGGTATATAATATTACTGGGATAAATATTGGGATTTGATAGTGAAGTTAAACCTTAATATGTAGTTGGCTGTAGTTCTGTGACAGTTTGGCCATTGTGTGAGTTCTGCTGCATAACTTTTGTGCTGATTCTTTTATTTCTTAAAGCTTGAAGCTTCTTTAGCTGCTGCCAAGGACCAGCTTGTAAATGAAACCTTGCAGAAGGTGGATCTTGAAAACCGTTGTCAGAGCCTCAGTGAGGACCTGGAATTCCGTAAAAATATATATGAGGAGGTAAATTTAGCCTCAAGAATTAACATTTTTAAAGACAAGAAAATTGGGAGGTCACTTTAGAATAGGAAAATCATTTAGGTTGGGAGGTGCCTCTGCAAGTTGTCTGAACTCCTACTCAGAGTAGGGTTTACCTCTGTTCTAGCATGAAGATTTCTAACTTCCTTTTTCTAGGAAAAATGATTTTAACTCTGAATTCTTGTGATAAAATAACTTCATGTATAATGTTGTTTCCTCTTAAATTCTGATCATGGTATGCAATGCACATGTCTTTTTTTATTAGTGAGAAAATAGGTTAGTATTTTCTCACATAATCCCATGATAAGAAATTAAGTGGAGGGAGACTCGAACAGGTGCTCTGGACCTGCAATATTTTTAATTTCAAATCTTTCTAATAGGATACTTTTGAATAATAGAAAAAAAGTGGATGAATAGTTGTCTCTTAGAACTTTCCCTTGCCACCCTCCCTTTCACCTGTGTCATTTAAGGCTTTCCAGGAGGAACCTTAGGGCAGTAACAAATGTACTTGACCATACTGTTTTTTTTTCCATGTGTGCTTTTTCTTGCTAGAAGTGTATTCATAGCTTTGTTTCATATTGTTGGAATTCCTTTCTTTCCAGAGAAAGCACAGAACTAAATGGGGAAAGTGGGGTGACTCTTATTTCACAGCAGTTTGATTTTGTTGAAGCACAAAAGATACCTCAGTAAGGGAATATATTTTCTAAAATCAAATGTTGATGAGGTGTATTTGTTGAAAGTTCAGTCAACTCTCTGAAGAAAATGTTGTTAGTATCCTAGCTCTTATTTTAATGAGTGGCTATTGCAAAATAAGACTGGGGACACCGTTTCTACTAATAGTTTCATGTCAGAATCTGATACTAGAACCTGCATTACTCTCCACTCAGCAGGATAGTCTTCTGAAATTTTTGTCCTGTATTTAGTGTTACCATGTTTCTGTGGCTCTCATAGGAGATCAATGAGACAAGAAGGAAGCATGAAACTCGGCTGGTTGAGGTTGATTCTGGGCGTCTGATTGAATATGAGCACAAACTGGCCCAGGCCCTCCACGAAATCAGAGAGCAGCATGATGCACAAGTGAAGCTGTACAAAGAAGAGCTCGAAGAGACTTACCACTCCAAAGTGAGAACATGTTTTCACACGGCTGTTTGATGTGTTTTGTTTTTGTTTTGTTTAATAGCATAATTGTTGCAGCTCAGAGGGGTTTATTAGGGAACTGAGTTTGAAATTAGCATGTGTTTGAGAGTGGATTTGCATTTTCACATCTCACTTTGGGAGCAGGTTGAATCCTCATCAGGAACAATAGCAGAAGGGAAGGCGAAGGCAGCACTGTGTGAAGGTGATCTGCGGGGATTACTATGAAGTCAAGGAAATTTTGTGCATTGTTAAGTGTGATACTGAACAATGATCAATAAGGTGTCCCATATTTTATATAAAAATTCATAATGGGGCTTGCTGAGAAGACAGGAGATAGAGTCCTCTGACCCTGTACAAAACATGGGGAAGTTTTACAATGCCCAGTAACTTCTGTTTCTCACTCACCTAAGCAGAAAGCTGAAATCAGTTATACTTCATAATTTCCTTCCTCTGCTGTTACTCAGCATTTATGTCAGGAAGCATGCTGATGTCTCAACTGAAGCTGGTTTCAGTGGCTGTGCTTGTTGCAGTTAGTATTTTTTAAAAGCAAAGTGTTACTTTACAGCAGAAAAGCTTATATAAACTTAATTTAATAGCATTGGTTTTGGTCTTTTCAGCCTGCTTATCTCCAGGCCTTCAATCTGGCTTGGAAAAGATTGTTTCAAATACAGTCTAGCCAAAAAATGCAACCTCTCATTGCTTTCTTGGCCTTTATCACAAGGTATGCTGTATTTTTGGAAACTTAGTTTAAAAAAATAAATTAGATTGCTTTGCATCATCATCAACAAGTTCAGTAAATCTATGATGCAGCTCAAATGTGTGTAGTAGCGTTCATCAGGAATTATTTAGTTACTTTATAAAACTATTCAAGATTGAAGTGATAGAATGAGGCAGTAGTGGCTTAGGGCACGGGTACTGGTGCCAATTTGCTTATATTGCCTGAAAGTTAACAACTTTGCCTCTTTTTAGAGAATTGGTAATTTCAGTTTAACTTCTTCACCAAGAAGCTGCTAAAGTATATTGAACATTTTAAGTGTATTAAATAAACTTTGTCCAGCGTGAAAATAGAACATAGTAGTTCCATTTCAGTAATGTCTATAAGGGAAAGTTTTAATCCTAAGGTAAATATTCAGGGAATTGGAATTCTAGGCAGGGCAATCCAAAATGGTAACCACACTTAGCCCTAACGGAAGAAAAGTTTCACTGCGTTGGAACTGCAGAGAGGAACTAGGGTGGCTTAGCATTGCCCGTGGGTTTTTGGTGATTCATTCCTTCTTCTAGTGGGAGTAATTTTGAAACTGATGTCTTCACTTTGGTGCCCTGCAGCTGGAGAGTGCCAGGCTGTCCTCGGAGATGAGCAGCTCTGCAGCCAACACCATCAGGGAGCAGCTGAACGAGAGCCGCATGCGCATCGACAGCCTGTCCTCCCACATCACCAGCCTCCAGAAAGAGGTATCCAGCTGTGCCCCCCTCGGTCCTGCTATTTACAGATGTTGGCTTTTCTTCCTGTTACATTTGTTGGTTTTTGTATTAAAGGTCTGTTATTCCCTTAATTTGTAAGTATGTTCAGCGTCATGACCGACGTTCATCTTCTCTCCTACTGCTCTGTACTTTTTCAAATTCCTTAATGGTGTCTTCTTGACAAATTTTATTTTCATTTTCTGTGTGTAGTGTTCTGCTATAGGGTTAGTGTTTCAAATAGGGTACCGTTAAGTGCCTTTTGTGAAATTTTTTGTGGATAGATGAAGCAGTTTTAGACAAATGTATATTAAATGTTCTTGACACTCTGAGCAGTTTAGTAGTGACTGGGCCAGCCTGTAGAATTCTACAATGCAACATTCAAAGCCAGAACTGGAATTTGCAGGCTCTTTTCATCCTAGGTCCAGTTTGCATGTAGACATCTAAAAAAAAAAAAACAAACAAAAACAAAAACCAAAACTAATGATGTGATCTTGCCCAGATTAGGAATGCAAGACTGAGTAAAAACATCACATAACATTCAGATAACTTAAGCATCTGTAGGGCAGGATCTTAAGCAGAAATTGGTTATTCCTAGATCACAGAGGGCATAAATCACACACAGAGAAGTATGACAAAATGTATGATGAGTGATATGTTCAGTATTGGCCTATTTGTAACATCATGTGCACTGCAGTGGGAAATCCAGAGTGAAAATCAGAAGTGTTAGGAGGAGGTTCTGCAGTAAGCTTTTGTAACTCACTTGAAAATGCAACAAAACATTTCAACTTTTTTAGGAATATAAAATACTAGTACTGTTTGATCCTTTCTGTGATACATGTTGAATTTTATTCCTCCTGTACGGTGGACTCCTAACAGGACATCAAAATTTTGTGTATTTCTAGTGAAAAATATAAATGTGGGGGATATTATTTCCTAATTTTCCAAATAAATTGGCAGATACAAGTGAGATTCTTCCTAGTTTTTCTTTTACCTAGTCAAGTTAGTCTCTGTGGAAAAGATCAGGTGATATAATGAATGTGCATGAGGTTCTACAGGAGTTGGAAAGTTTTGGCCACTTAGATATTATTTCTGCCTTTGGATGACCATCATCTTTTGGAGGTTCAGTCAGCAGGTTTTTTAAGTTAATTTCCTCTGTTGTTTTACTTCAGAAGTGAATGCTTGGTTCAGCAGACTTGCTTCTGAACTGGCAGCAGTGTTTGTTGTAATTTCAGGACAGTCAGCTTCAGGGAAAATCAACTTCTATCAATTTGGCTGTGATTTTCCACCAAAGAAACCATTTTGCTGTGGTTTTGGGGTGGTTTTTTGTGGTAGCATTAGTGAAGTCAGTCACTTTTGTCTTCCACTTTACTAGCATTAAGTTAAGCTTTATTTACTTGGAGATCTCTTATCCCTGGTGCTGGTCTGGTTTGAATTGCCAGCACTGAGCTCTGCAGTAAACTCCACTCTGATCTTCCATGTGGCACAAAACTCCATTTATTACATTCCTTATCTGACTCGTAGTATTGACAACCAGTTACACTGGTCCCTTGTGTCAGACATGGCGACTCTATTTTCTGTCTGTCTCTGGAATAAGTGATGACTTCCTAAATTTGGGTGCATGCATAGCCAACTTTGTGATTATGGGGCATAGGTTCATGTATCCCCTCCTTAATTAAAAAAAAAAATTAAATCTCAAGGGGCTGTGAAACATAAGAAGGCATGCTTATGGAAGGTAAACCCTAAAGCTGCCATCATTTTGGGCTTTTTTTGATAAGCATTGCATTCCATGGGTGTACAGTTTTAAGATCTGCTGACCTGATGGGATTTTTGAAGCAGGAGACAAATCAGATTTCTTCAAGGAATACTTATCACCATACTCTGAGCAAGCCTTGGAGGCTTTAAGGATAGGCAGGCAGGTTTGCATTGACAACAACCCCTATTCCTTTAGGGGAGTTGTCTCCCAGATTTCAGGATTAGCAGCACCAAGCCAAATCACAGAGCAGACAGAGACTACAGAGCACTGAAGGACCTCCAGGGGTGGTGACTCCTCCACCTGCCTCCCTGGGCAGCCCAGTCCAATATCTAACCACCCTTTTAGTGAAGGAATTTGTCCTAATGTGCAGCCTAAACCTCCCCTGGTGCAGCTTAGGACTGTATTCCTGTGTCCTATCTAGCACATGTTAAACACTTAAACTCTTAAGCTCAATATTTATTATTTGAGTAAATTCAAGTACAGTAGCATATTTTCAGACCTCAGAAAAACAGAGCAAAGTAGTTGTTTTTCCAAGGATGTTGCAAATTTCACTGGAATTTGAGGTGTTTATGTTTGTAGCAGGTGAGGTGCAGAGGAGGAAATTGAGCACAGGTGAGCGTAAACTCAGAAATAGGGGAGGATGTAATTCCTGGTTTTTGAATTCCGTGTTGCCTGAACAGCAGAGCACCTGTAGGCTTGGGTGGGCTTTTCTTTGCACCATCATTGATGTTTTCAATGCTTTTTCTCTAGTCCAGAGCGTGGCAGGACAGAGCACAGGAGCTGGAGAGCATCTTGGCCCAGGAACAGGAAAACTGCCTAAAAAGGCTGGCAGAAAAGGAGAAGGAAATTGCAGAGATAAGAAATCAGATGCAGGAGCAGCTGACTGACTATGAGCAACTTCTGGATGTTAAACTGGCACTTGACATGGAGATCAATGCATACCGGAAATTGCTGGAGGGTGAAGAGGAGAGGTAGGAAAGAACATGGCAAGGAGGTAGTGTCTGTTATCTCTGTGCTTTTCTTGTGTCTTTCTCTGTTAAAAAGCAGTTTTTTAGTGGTGCTTGACTTCTTTCCAAGGCACTGTTTTTGCCCCCTGCTGTCTGACACAACTTCTAAGTCACCATGAGACCAAGCACATTGATTATCAGACCAGCTCTCAAGGCAGCAAACAACCTTTTTTGTTGTTGTTGTTAAGATCCAGCAAAGAAGAAGCAATGAATTGTCATTTGTATGCCTGTTTGGTGCCGTGCTTAATATTCTTCAAAATTAGTTGCAGGGTTAATTAATTGTTACCCAAATTCCTCTAAGTATAGAATAATTTTAATAAAGTCATAGCCATTGTGATTGCCCAGCTCATCAGCCAGCTGCATTTTCCACATCTGGCCTCAGAGTTCTTCCAGTACTGAGAATTTTCAGCTCTGTCACAACTGTCATTTAAAGCAGTTTGATTTTTTACTGTATTTTGAGCTGCGCACTGCTGGTTCTCTCAACTGTGGGGATGAAACAGCCAAAGCTTTTATGCCAGTATGTTTTTCCATTAATTTCCCACAGTGGCTTAAATCTCCCTAGGGTTTTTGTTTCTTGTAGTCTTCAAGGAATGCACAGTAATGCTTTTATGCTCTCAGTGTAATAGTCCATCAGTGTTCTGTGTTCCAGGAACATTAATCAGCTGTTCTACAGCATTTTATTCACCTCTTAAGTACTTAAGCCTTCACTTCTTCATGTAACATGCCTTGTTTACTATGTTGCTGTATAAATCTATGGGATGAAGAGGAGGTGGAAGAAAGTTTCTTTTAAGAGAAAGGTGGGAAAAATACAACCAAATCATGGGGTCATTAAAGCTGTGAAAGATTTGAATCCAGCTGTTGATCCAGGACTTCCATGGTCACCACTAAACCCAAGTCCCCCAGTGTCCCTAAGTGCCACGTTGGCATGTGTTTCCAGCACTTCCAGGGCTGATGATGGCACCACATTCCTGGGCAAAGCCCGACTGGCTTTTCAGTGAAGAAATTCCTCCTGATACCCAGTGTACACCATCCCTGTCCCAGCTTCAGCTGTTTCCTCTCACTCTGTCCCGCCTTCCCTGCAGGTGCAGCCCAACCCGCAGCTCACTTCACCCTCCTGCCAGCCAGTTGTGGAGAGCAGGGAGGTCCCTCCATGAGTCTCCTTTTCCCTGATGTGATGTGTGTGTGTGTTTTCTCCCTTGCCCACGCCAGGCTGAAGCTGTCCCCCAGCCCCTCCTCCCGGGTGACCGTCTCACGCGCCTCGTCCAGCCGCAGCGTCCGCTTGGCCGGTGGCAAGAGGAAGAGGATTGACGTGGAGGAGTCTGAAGCCAGCAGCAGTGTGACCATTTCCCACTCTGCCTCTGCCACGGGGAACGTGTCTATCGAGGAGATAGACGTGGATGGGAAGTTCATCCGCTTGAAGAACACTTCTGAGCAGGTTTGGATTGGACACGCGTGTCATGAGTTGAAGTGCCGGGGCATCCTCACTGCCCTCGCAGCTCCCAGGCTTCACTTTGACCCCAGAGCTTGTGGCATTAAGTAGCTGGTGTGTCTCAAAGACAGCTTTCACACACTGTTCTGGGTTGATGATGACTTTTCCCCGGGGATTTTTGGTGCTTTTGTTTTACTGCAAGGTGGCCCATCCACCAAATCATTACCTTGCACTTCTGCGTTCTGCCTTGCAAGTAATGCACCTGTAAAACTTTACAGATGACATTGTTCCTGATAAGAAATGCTGCAAACAGACACCAGACTGCTTTAGAAGCCTTTTCAGCCCTTTCTTTGCCTTAAAAAGGCTCAGAATAAACAAGTAGAGATACAGAATAAAGGTCTAGTTGAAATTAACTGCCAATGTCCCTTGTATCTCCATAAAGCTTTCCTAAATCATAGTTTTTGTTCTTCCTTGGCTGCACCCAGAGTTTTACAAGCCTCAGTTCCCATGCCAAAGCCACTGTTACAGTGACTGCTGAGATCATTTGATTCTGTGAACAGGTTGGAATTAGTATTGGGAGGATACACATATCTACATAAATCAAGAACCCTTTGATAAATAATAATCACTTCCTTATAAGCCCTCAAAATGGTGCTTTTACATACACTACATTTCCCTCCTTTATCTTCACTAAAAGGCAGCTTGTGATGAGCTGACCTGGTTCCAAGAGTCCCAGTCCCCTCTAATTGGTGAGGCTATGGACAGGCTCCTCCAGACAGTGATAATGTGGGTTTTAATTACCTGTAATTACCACACCTGGGGAGCAATGGTTTTGTTTAGTGAATTCAAGAAACTTTGACATTTTTCTTGGTCTAAACAATTCAGTCTGTACAGATGATTCAATTCAGCCAGGTCAAAAATTATTTCTGGTGACTCAGAACCTGCCTTTTTTTTCTTTTTTCTTTTTTTTTTAACTTTCCTCTACACATATACTTGTTTAACTCCACATACTTGTTTTCCCTTCACCTTTAATTTGCCTACACATCCATTGTTTCATAAGGAAGGAGGAGCTTCAGTTTTGTTCCTAGTAACCATGGGTGGTTCATGTTTCTTGTGCTTTTCTAGGGGGTCTAGATTTGAACTCCCTGTAGTGCAGTGTAATAAACTCTACTTGGGGAATATTCATGAGTGCTTTGACATTTTATATAAATAAATAGATTTTAAAAATTTGTAAAATCCTCTCTAACTATGGTATGTTTTGGTGCAATGACAAACTGAATGTCAGCATCCACTGAAATATATGATTGTTTATTTTAGATCATTTTAACTGACAGTGGCAACTGTTGAATGATGAGAACCTATGTGGATGGGAGAGTTTAAAAAGTGCTTGTTTTGAATTTAAAAAAATACCTACTCCTGTTTTGAAGCAGTCATTCTGTAAAGATGACATGTATATGATTTGTTAATGCTTTTCAAGTAGTTGATAGGAAAAAAAATTACAGGGAGTATGTGGTGGCAAGTGTGCATATGTAAAAATACTTCAAGAATACTAACAACAATATTTTGTTTTCTAGGAAGCCTGCTTGCCATTCTGTGCTTCAAAAAACAATAAATATTTGTAAGGGGATTTTAATATTTAATACCTATTGCTAATATGTATTTCTCTGGACCAAGTGATAACAAAACTGATGCAAATCATAAACATTAATTAACATTAGAACTCAAAAGCAGAATGTATTAAGCTTTAACTTCAAATAAGAGGTAAGATAAATTTAGCTAAAATTATTCTAATTCCATGCTGAAGATCAAGTGACAGTAAACCCCTTCTCTGAAAGCTTTTTGTGTGCCACAACCTTAAAGATAAAACACACTACATGCATAGCAGAAAAATGAATGCTGGTGGAAATACTGGGTTTTTTCCCTCTCTCTTTTCTTAGGATCAACCTATGGGAGGTTGGGAGATGATCCGAAAAATAGGAGACACTTCTGCAAGTTACAGATACACCTCAAGATATGTACTAAAGGCAGGCCAGACTGTTACAGTAAGTTGTCAGGTTTCTCTTGAAATGGACTTCAGGCCAACTTCTTTGAGTCAAAAAGACACAAAGTTTTTAGTTTTGTCCTTCCTCTGTACATGTTCAGGAAATTATCATCTCTGTTTGTGTTGGGCATTCTTTGTGTCAATTGCTGGGATAATTAATACAGAGGGATGTTTTTCAGAATTTTCTGCATGAAGCAGTGATTTTCACCATGTACACGTGAAAATTTGATATCATACTACATATTCTAGAGTCTCTGCATTAAAAACATGTGTGTTTTATTGTACAAAACTTTGGTTTTCCTCACTGGAAGAGACGCACAGCATCACTTAAATGAAATACATTAACTGAATTTGGAAATCTGGTAAGACTGGCACAAAATGTTCCTGTGTGACTTCTGTTGTCAGATCTGGGCTGCAAATGCTGGAGTAACTGCGAGCCCTCCCACTGACCTCATCTGGAAGAACCAGAATTCCTGGGGCACCGGTGAAGATGTGAAAGTTGTGCTGAAAAATTCTCAGGGAGAGGTAAACCACCACAGATCTGTGTGAGATTTTTCTGTGATGGCATCACCTACAAGGATTCAGACTAGGGCTCCATACAGGAATGCACTGAAGTGCTTCTTTGCTAAAGTTTCCTCCTTTTGGAGAACTAGCTGCAGTTTAGAAATGCCTCTACTGAACTCTGATTTTTTTTTTTACTCTAAATAGTGAAAAAATACATAAATAGCTCCTCCCTCATGGCAGGAGCTAGGCAGTGCCTTAGAACATGCTTTGGAAAGAAAGTTTTGGTGAACTCTTGGGTGATTTGTCTTCTAGATCAGTTTTCCTTAATTCTGTGGGATTTTGAGGAGTGGGGAATTCCAGAGGGAAATCCACATGGAGCAATGAGGGGTTAATACAGTTAAGGTGTGATTTAAAACTTCTTGTGGGATAGTTACTGTGACATGCTTCAAATGAAAGAAAATATTTAAATATAGATGAAAAAGAGCAGACTTTGGATGTTGTCACAAACAGTCCTTCTAATCATTAAGATATTTAAAATTAAGCTGTTTATGATCAGCAATACTTGAGAAGTATACAAATTTTTAAAATGAGTGCAAGTAGTTTTCCCAGCAGCTGGAGCTTTCATTTCTTGAAGTCTTGAGTCGGTGAGAAACAGGAGATTTTTTTTTTTTAAAAGTTCAAATCTTAAAACTGTCTTGTAGGAGGTTGCTCAGAGAAGCACTGTGTTCAAAACAACAGCACGTAAAGGGGAGGATGAGGAAGTGGAGGAAGTAGCTGAAGCTCTCGATGAGGAAGACATTTACCGTCAGCAGGTATTTTTTTTTTTTGGCTTAACAAGGTTATTTACATTGAAAAAATGGGATATAAGTAACGAATTCTTAAATTAAAAAAAAATATAAAAAATGGAGTGTGGATGTTATTTTATTTTTGTTTTTTTAATTAGTAATTAAGGAAAGCATTGAGCTGTCTTACTGAAACCAGTGTAAAAATATTGCCTGATATATCCTCTTGCAGAGAAGTACATTTTTAAAAAAAATTTAAGATACGGGGATTTTTTTCCTTCCCTAAAACTCTGTTCCTCATAAGATTCTCCCCATGTCAATTGTTTATAGTAAAGTTTGGCTTAGGCAGGTAAAGTTTACTGAAAGTTTTCAGAATTTAAATCTCTCTTTATGTCTGATAGAGAAAATCATGTTATTGTCATATATTCACATATTTTCTCTAATAGAGATAATTTGAGATTTGAAACCTCTTTGAGAGAAAATGTGCCTGGCATGCTGAAAAAATGAAGTTCTGAAGACCAAAAAAAAAAAAACCAAAGGACTATTGGAAATTAGAGATGTTACATTTATTACATAAAACCTCTCTAGGTTCTTGTTTATGCTCACTGATTGAAATATGGCAGTTACTTGTATTTTTCTGATACCTGTCCTCTATTGCTCCTCAATAGGAAAGGACATGTAACATTGTTATAATTCCAGGGTAAAACAGGTTGTACAGCTTTGCTGATTCTTGTTTGTACCATGCCAGGCAAATAATTTCATATATTAAAAAGTGTATGTGTTTATATATAATGTATGTGTATGTATATATGTATGTATGTATATACATATAAAATTTAATATCTATTTAACTATATATTAAATATATAATTATCTAATATACATATAATTAATATAAAATCCATATAAAATAAATATCTACTTATTTAAAAGTATATAATAAAAAAAGCACAGTAGATTCTTTTGGGTAGAAAAACATTTTGAACATTTTGCTGATGGGGTGGTTTGTTGTTTTTTTTTTTGGTTTCTTTGCTGGTTTTTTTTTGTTTGGTTGGTTGGTTTTGATTTAAATGGTTCTCCCTGTTCACAACAGGCAGAGCAAAGGGCATCCAGCAGAAACTGTGTGGTCATGTGAAATTCCAGCCACTCCAGGCTCCTCCAGCCGTGGTAATCCCTACCTGCAGAACAGAGCCTTCTGAGAAGCACAACATTATTTTCCCAAGTCTGTGAATTTTTAAAGCTGCGAGTCTGATGGCCTTAAACCTCCTCTGCCACTGAAAAAAAAAAAAAAAAAAAAAAAAAAAAAAAGAAAAAAAAAAAAAGAGAAAGGATTGTGACAAGCTTCCTCGCAAGATGTGAGCTAGTAGCTCCTGACAAGGAGAATTCAGAGTTCTGAGAAATTCAGAGAATTCGGAGTTCTGATGCTCCTGTCTCTCTCTCAGATTTATACACCAGTCTCTCTTCATGGAAACCTTGCTGGAGTAGGAATATTCCAGTGTGTTTTGGGGATCGATTTTTCTTAGATTATACCACTCCAGACTAGTTGCTACAACCTCTTTGTATTTTAGGTGCTGTTGGGGATTGGTTTAGAGTTTTTTATTCTGGAAGAGGATTCATGTTACACCTTGTAGTTGTGTTGTTGAGCTAGTGTTAACGGCTTAAATTTTCTTATGTGGTTTTTTTCTAACAAATTAGAAAGCTGTTTTAATATGAATTGCCTTACTTGTTTACAATTTTCAGTAAAAAAACGAAGTCTGTAGAGCTCTAGTCTACATTTGTATGGGAAACAGTTGTAATTTTACCAATGTTGAAAGTTTTTCTGTCCTTTTCACATTATTCCAATGTCTGAAAAAAATTGTAATAAAGTATCTATGTCCTACAGAGTAAAGTTTTTGGAATTTGTTTCTTCCTAGAACTGAGTTAAAAGTTGAAGGAGTGTTGAATCCTTGAAATTGATGGGCTTTGAAGCTGAAGAAACATCCATTAAATGGAACAGTGCAAAAATTTCTTCTGAATAATGGCTGATACTGCTTCACATTTGGAAAATCAATTCTTCAGAGCTTTATTCACACTCTTGCATTTGTGCTCATCTTGGCTCTTGGTTCTGTTCTTACTGGACTGGCTTTTACTGCATCCTGCAAGCACCAGGCTAAGCAATGTTAGCAAGCACAGTAACATAAAGAAGAATTTACAAGTGCTGTAAAATAGTTACCTTTGACACAGCCTGAATGTATTATTTCAAATGCACGGCCAGAATTTTGGAAGTCGATTGGAATTTTTTTTCTTTTTTTAATTGACTGTTCTTGACTGTTCTTCGATGATAGTGGTAGAAATGCAGATTTTAGAATAATTTTGCTTTTTTTCTTTGCTGTGGCAGGAACTCCTGTAGATTAGAAGAAGGGAACGTTGGGAAACACAACTGTGAAACATCCTGCCACAAGGTGGAGGTCTTGTTTTGCTTAGTTTTTTTCAATATTGTACAGCAACAACCCAACACTTCCTGCACTTCCCTGCAAGTTCCATAACTTGATTATCATTAGTTCTGGCATTAGATGCATATTGCATTTTCCTGCAGGTGAAAACTCTTTAGTAATTTACTTGTAGCCAGATAAACACTTTACCAGAAATATTTCTGCTCAAATATACTCATTCCTGTGAGAAACAGATTGAGAATTTAGGAAAAAAGTGGTTAGACCTGTGCAGCAAACCTGTGAACTGCATTCTTTTTTTCTAGTTTCATTATAAAAACCATAGTGTAGTCAAAACTGGTGCAAATTAGTTTATGATGCTGTTAACAGCATGCTTTAGCATCTTTATGATGCTAAAGATTGTTTTTTGGTTTGTATTTCCTTGTTCATTATTTACATACATCACATTTGTCTAAGCAGCAGCAGAAAATGGACAGAGAAATTAATAAGCAAGTTATTTTCAACAGATGCTAATTATTAATTTCCTTTTATAAATAATGCAATTTTAAATGCTGATCTTTGTTTAATTTTTTCAATGAAAATTTGCCTTATCAGTGTATCATTTTGATACTCATTTGGGGGTTTCTGGACTTAAAGGACATTTTTATCTGTGAAACACTGGGTTTCATATTCATATTGAACTGTAAGATGTATCTGTACTTAAATGCTGCTGCTTTTACTGAAATGGCCACGTGATAACTGTGAAGAATTTTCCTCCAGGCAAAGAAATCAATTAGTTGATGGAGAATTAAAGCTCTTAAAGCCCCTGTCCCAAAGAGGACAACTTGTAATTATTGGTGATTTTTTAGAAAGGGAGTGGAGGTTGTGTGTGATGGATGTGAATGCTTATTTAGCCTTTCCTGGACATCAAGGAAACGCTGGCACACTTCATTATTTATTATACTCAACTAGCTCCATCACAGGATTATGGCAGAAGTTAGCTATTTTATCTCAGGTTTTGCTTGGTATGCATTTATTGCTCAGAGCCTTTTGCTGATCTCCTGGTTTCTTTTTAGCATGTTTGCATAAATACAGGAATTCTGTGTGATAAAAGCACTGTGATTACCCTGAAGAAAAGCTGCATTTGGGGCATTAATAAAGGAAGGCACATTTCAGCTTAAGGTGATTGATTGGTAGAATTTTCCTACAATTAAAAATTAACTCTTGGATGTGAGTTTTCATAGCTGTTCTGCACTATCAGAACAAAAAAATACTATTTTTGGCAAGCAAGTCTTACTTTCTGCTTAATAATAGAAGCCATGGAATTAAACTGTGACACTGACTTCCCCTACACCTGCAGCATCTTGTTTTTGAGGTTGGTGTGTTTTGTTGTTGCTCCTAAGGGCATGTTGGACATAGGATATCAACATTTATTCTTTACTTTGATAGGTTTTACTGGGGAAGTATTTGGTACACTTAGAATAAATTCCCTTCGGTTTTGTAATGTTTTAACACCAAAGGGAGCACAAGTGTTTTGTAGCCTTGCCACAAACAGGTGTGGGGAAGAGGCTGTCAGCAAAAGATTCAGTACCTGAAAGCAGATTAAGGACTGAAAGATATAACCTTTGATTTTTGAAAAAGCTGCCTCATGTGCAAATACATGGGAAACTAATTTTGAAATGTGGAATAACAAGAGTGGATCAGTGAGGTGTCATCATCAGTGTTGGGACGAAATTTGGGTATTTATCTTTATTGATCTGGAGTGTTCCCTCAGCAAATTTGGAGATAACAAAATATGAGTTCTGGTTAACACTAAATTGGATCTGCTGGAGGGCAGGAGGGGTGTGGACAGGCTGATCCATGGGATGAGGCCAGTGGGGTGGGGGACACCCAGGGGCAGTCCTGCCCTCGGGTCACAACAACCCCCCCCAGCTTCAGGCAAGGTGTAAACTGGATATGAGGGAAGTTGCTTCACTGAAGGGGTGGAATTACCATCCCCGTGGGTGTCCAAAAAACCTGTGGATGTGGCACCTGGGGACATGGTTTGTGGTTAACATGGTGGTGCTGGGTCAGTGGTTGGAGCATCATCTTTTCCAACCTTAAAAATTGTGTGATTCTATGAGTTTGCAACGGTAGCTTTGAAGATACTTTTGAATACCCAATAATTGTCAGTAAAGAGGCAGGGGCCAGTTCTGCTTGCAAGGAAAATGCTTCTTTAATTAACCAGTTCTGTGTTAAATGAAGCGCCATCTCACAAAAAGTAACAAGTAAAGATATTTAATTATTAACAGTTTGTTGGTTTTGTTTTTTTCAAGGGGAGAGCTTCTTTAGCTCTCTTAGTGCAAGAGTCTGTCCCAATATTTGTTCTCAAACCTATTTCTGATGGTACCCATTGCATCAAAGGCTAGTTGCATTTATTGGCTCTGTGTCCCTTTATGCAGAGTTGTCACTTTGCCCTCTATGACTTTGCATTGGAGCAAAGCTGGTTTAAATAAAGGAAATGTAAACATTTTGAGGTCTCAGTCTGGCAGAACTGTTCAGCTGAGTAATGAAAAAAAAGACCCCAAACACTAAAACCTGAAGTGTCTTTAATAACTGCTTCTGTTATTCTGCAACTTTCTTTCCAGCTGAACAGAAAGCTGGGGTATTTCTAAATCTTTATGTAACGTGATAGGCAAGTCCTGTAGGGAAAATACTATGTAAAAAAAAGTAAAACTTCCTCATTTTTCATTACACTCATCACACTGAATCACAAGAGGCTGCTTTTATCATTTGCAACTTAAAATACTGCTCAAATACTGTTGAGTACTGTTACTTCCATGTAACTTCTTATCTGGAAAGGGGATGTAAATGACATGGTCAGCTGCATGAGAAGAAAGCATAAAGTTGCCAAGAGAGAAGTTGAGTGACATTTAAAAAAGGTAAAAAGGTGGTCAGTCATCCTATAATTAATTATGTTCTTTAATTAATTTGGTTATTAAGAAGAGCATGACAAAGGTGTCATTGTACTGCCGGGAGCTTTGTTGGCTGCAGTTTCTGCTGTGGTTAATTTTTTTCTTTCACTTTTATTCAGACAGAAATGGATGTTGCTGCTATTGGAGAATATTTGCTGTGATGATCCAGTATTTTATGGAAATTTGGGCTTCGTGTAGCATCTACAGCATCAGCTTGTGAAAGTAAACTAAGCTCCCATCTGGGAGATCCTTCTGTCTGTAAATCTTTAAGAGCAAAAGTGGGATTAAGAAGTAATATCTCCCACCTCCCAGTTCTTGTGTGTTAGGAAGAACAAGGAAGAATACAAGTATACTTTTTTTCCAAGGGTTTAATGCAATGTTAAGTGCCTGACTGGACTTTTCCTGTCATTTTTTTTCCTCAAGAAAATCCATGGGACACTACTGCAACTTCACCAGGCAGTTGCACTGTGCTGCTGCATCAAGCACAGAAACTGGGTTAATGATGTGTGTGCTAAACTGGACCATACTTTTAACCTCTCTCTGCTTCAGTATGCTTTCTTCAGGTAAGTAAAGATGTCTTAACACAAAAAAATAAAAAACAACACCCCCCCCCCAAAAAAAAAAAAATTTAAGTAACACAAATGAGCTGGGCCAAGTGACTGTGCTGATCTTTGTACATTGACCTTGCAGTTTCATTTGAATAAATGTTTCCCTGAATGTTTTGCCACTTAATTCCCTATCACCCAGATTTTTGGTTTCGTGAGGCAAAGCCGACAATAGCACTCATTAAGAACAACATTTCTTTCAAAGATTTCAAGAGCAGTAATAAAGTTCGGAAGAAAGCTTACCTAAAGTATGTGTGTAGGCATTAAAACACTGACAGCATCCTGACCCAGCTAGATTTGCTTTATTTCTTTGCCTCTGGCCAGCCAATACATATATTGTTTTTTTTTTAAATCTGGCATTCTGCTTAAGTGTGTGGTTTTTTTTGTTTTTCTTTTTTTTTTTTTTTAATACCTCTTCCCAAAGGCAAATAATTATTTGGAATGAAGACTAAAGCACTACAGGTCTTAGGCTAGCACAGTGATTGTGATATGCTTCAGAGCCTTGTATAGTTTTCTCTGGAAGAGAAGCAGTTGTTCACAGCGAAACATGAACAACCCCAGCTTTGTCAGACTGATGAGTACAGATCTTCAGGTTCATGATTTTCCTACACACCTTGGCTCATTGTGTGCCTTTCTGTTGGAATGAGGCTGTTATTGCTTTATATCCCCATGATTCTCCTATCCCCATGACTGACAGTTACAAAGAACATTGTTAAATAACATGCTCACAGCTAGACTGGTCCACAGACAGAATAAAGAAATTTAACAGATTTGGCTTTGTGTACTAAGCTTTCTCCCCCCTCCCACAGAGCACACACAAAACATCAAATAACTTCTTGTCTGGTGGTAAATACCCATAATACCTTGAACTTTATGAATAAGAAATTATTAGCCTTCCTGCTATGTCTTCCTTTTGATTTT